GTCAATGCCGGTCAACGGCCAACGGGTCGGGTCAACGGATCGAGTCGGGTTGTGACCGGTCAAACCGGTCAAAACAGCTCCAAAACCAGTCAAACCGGTCACTTTTTCCTTCCCCACGCGTAGTGGCGGCGCATGAGGGCGCGTGAACAGAGCTAAATTCCCGGAAAAATTCCTAAAAATTATTTTGAGCGATTTCGAGATACTTACAAAGTTCGGTTCACAATTTTGAACGGCGGAGAACTCGATTTCAACAAATCGGAAACTTTGACTGCTTCACTTCCTCACGCGCCGCTGTCAACGGAGACCAAGGATGACACCGGCAGACTCAGAACGATGCAAGGAACACGATGGTGCGGGAGGTGTCGTAAACGGATCATCGGATCGTCGTGAATCAACGAAAAACCAATTGAAATCGAGTTATTACCGACGATACTTCCGACTGAAATTAACGACGAACGGCGATAATTCACGACAAAAGCTTTGAGGGGTTTTGTTCCTCGCTCAACAACGAACATAATGGTGGTTTCGGCTTGTCGATCGGAGGTCGGACGGCGAGTAGATCGGAGTTAAAAGTTGGGTCAACGGAAGAGAAAAACTGGGAAAAATATGCAGTCTGCGCACGGGAAAGATTTATAATTCAACATATAAAAATATGGTTAAATCATGGATTTAGCCACTGAATTTCCTGTACTTCTTAAAACGGTATGTCAACTTTAAAATTTTACAATTTAGTCCCCACTTTCTTCCAAAAATAACCACTTTGTAATTTCTTAATTTTAGCCCCTAAATTGGGGTGTTACACTTGGTACCCGAGAACTCATCTTCGGGATATTACTGTTGTCGTAAGTAGGGTTTTAAATTGCATTCGCAGTCAAGTTTTCTGTCTTTTCGCGATTATCACGGTTACGGATGTCATTGTGGTGTGGTCATGAATTTTTTTAAATGTCACATAACTTACCTTAAAATGACTAAAATAAATATAATTAAAATAAAATTATAAAATTTAAATTGCATAAATTTAGATTACTGAAATTAAGGTTAAATTAAATAAAAATTAAAGTTTACATTTTAAATTTAGTGAGTAAATTAAAATTCTAGATCTTAAATTAATATATCATTTAAAATTATATTTTAAAAATTATTAAAAAAAATAAATCTTCCCTTTCTCGATCTTTTTGTTTTTGCCTCCCTATCCTCCTTCCCCATCATTGTCTGAAACAAAAATGGTTATGCCTTCCCCTTCCTCCTCCCTTCCTTCTTCCTCCCATCATTATCTGAAACAAAACAAAAAATTGCACCACAGTTAAATAATGGTTGTTGCGTCCCGTTATCAGTGTAATCGTTTGTTTTCCGTTAAATTGTAGGCGTAATTGACCGAAATTGGTGTGAATCCGTGACTCATCGCAAAAACTATGAAAATCGGTTTCGAACGGTGGTGCTACCGCAATATCACAACCGTTATCACATTTTCAAAACGCTATTTGATACCCTGGTCGTAAGTGTATTAATGGTCTTTCCCCCTCTTTTAACTTTATGGCCTAATATAAAATTGGGTAGAATATCTACTTTAGTACTTAAACTATCAGTTTTGATCCGCTTTAGTATCTATTTTTTAAAAAATGATAATTGATAGTTTATGTATTAATATGGACAAAAACTGATAGTTTATATATTTAAACGGACTAAAATTTTTAATTTAGGTATGAAAACGGATCAAAATTAATAGTTTAGGTATTAGACGTATTAAGTTGTTTAACGACAGATATTAAAATGAAACAAAAACAAACATTATATATGATTATAAAAAAATGAAACTTTAGATACTAAAATAGATCAAAACTGATAATTTAAGTATTAAATGCATAATTTATTCTATAAAATTTAAGAGTAGGGACTTGTGATTTTGTACTATAGAAATTTAATGGTACAAAATTATTGCTTGGTACTCACAACGACTGTAATAACATTTGTTATGTCTACAATCATAATAAACACAATACAACCGAGAATACGACCTTGTTATTTAAATCATTGGTATCAATAAAAAAACAAAGAAAATATCTAAATTATAGTTGAATACTTTTATGAATTGTGTTATTCATTATACTATTAGCATCCTATGAAATTATGAATTAGCCACATTTGGTCCCTTGGGTGCTTAACTCAAGCACCAGATAGAATCTTTTGCTCGACATCTATGGCTTTGCAAACTGAACTTCAATGATTATTTACTGCTGCTTAACTCGAGCACCATAGAATATTTTTCACTGAATTCGGTGAGGATCAACAAGCCATCAAAAGGCGGAGAGAACGGTTACGAGACGACGAAGGCCGATCACCGGAGACCACCCCTGTGCCCCGTAATGAAACTATTCTTGGTTCAAACGTATCATCAGTTGCTCACCTCGAGCACAATTTCTCTACACCAGCTTCGACTTCCCGATCGAAGCCTTGGCCTCCGTCGATCAAAAGCATGTCGAAGATTTTGCTGAACGGGTCAGGAGGAGAGCTTCTTACACCCCAAGAGAAGCTCTTGAACTCCATTGATACGGTGGAGAAAGCCGTGATGGAGGAGTTGCGGAAAATGAAGAGGACCCCGAGCGCCAAAAAAACCGAGAGACGACACAAAGTCCGAACCTTGATGTCGATGCGATGATTTCGAGGCCGGATCGTCCTCATTGGGAATGCTGGCTTGGTCAACCTCTGATGATACGTTTGCATACTTGAATAGATACTTTGTATCATAATTTTTCTTTGGAATTGGCAATTTTCCTTCAATCTTCATTGAAGGGTACTGGTTCAATTTGGTAAGCAATCTGGTTTGTGACTCTCCTTCATTCATTGAAGGGACCAGTGAGGGAACATAGGAGGATTTTGTTTCAAAGTTGAAACCATGTAAATAATACTTGTTTTTGGATTTGATTCACATTTTTCTGGGATTTATTAACATTACATGTATTCAAATTCATTAGAAATGGATTTATTAAGAGAAATTAATATTCATCCATCATCAATTTATTAGAAGGAAATTGGGCTGCTGCTCGTGTTTATTACGTATGTATATGTCTTGATTACAGTCGAAACCGAAAGAAGCTAAAGCATAGGCAACTCTATTGGCCAACCTATGAACGTAGCAAACTCACACATACTCGAAGGAATTCATCAACTGTTTCGCCTCTTCAAGAACCAAGCCCGGCATGGCGAAATCTGGTGATTTGCATTTCAATCTGCTAACCACCGCGAATGCATCGCATTCTATAATGATTTTCGTGAACCCTTTCGAACTAGCAAACTTTAACTCATGGATCACCGCTTGTGCTTCTACAAACTCGGCCGAATGGGCTTCTCGAACGAAATGTGCTCCCCCACCCCACACAAAACCTCTATTACTACGAACAAAAAAGCCAACAGCCCCACATCGATACTCGATCCGGAATGCACCATCCACGTTGAACTTCAACAGCAGGATGCTTGGAGGGCACCATTGCACAACTTTCGGCCCCAAGGGAAGGATAGGTCTTATTGAATAATTGTGAACATGGTATTCCTCTTGAAAATCACTCCTCTCCTTTTCGAAAGCCACCGGTGACCGAATGGGAATAATTTCTTTATCCTCACCCGCATCACCTTCGGAAGGAGACAGCTCTACGAGATCGCATCCAAGCACCTCAAGAGTTTCCAGGTTGTAAAATCTTTGAAGGAAACAAATTGGGTAATCATACGTTCCACTGAAGTAGGAACCAATACAAAGAAACTTTATATTGCAAAAGAAGTTAGCCTCAAACTGACACTTATTTATCATCTGCATAACACCATCGTTAAATGAAACTTGCTCCAACTAGGGAATATCCTAATGAATCAACAAGCAACAATGAGATGGTATATATATAGGGATTAGCCTAATGAAATTTTAGTCTTGTGGGTCGCGAGACGGGTAGGTGAGATTGACAATGATATTTTTTTATTAGAATCGGAGATCTCATTAAAAAATTCTTTCATAACCAAAGGTATTACAACAAACAGGAGTACCTCAAGTTTTATTAAAATATAGAAGAGCAAGGTGCTTGCGTACAATAAAAACCACCCTGATGTCTGAACAAAAAAGACCCCAACAAACACCCCATCCTAAGATTAGATAACCAGGGATCAACCAATTCCAGCTTTGGCTAAGGTATCTGTCTCTACATTAGCAGTCCTAGAAATAACACGGAGAATAACTCCCCGCTCTATAACCCTATCAACTATATCCCTAATCATGGAGACGTATATAGCCGGACACAATGCTGGATTCTTAATCCATTCCACACAGTTCTTGCAATATCTCTCTATGATCAAACACCCTTTGGAGCTCCACTCCGAAAGTTCAAGAAAACGTAACCAAGTTTTGATTGCCACCAGCTCCACCAATGCAAGGGGACCAGGCCCTGAAGGTTCCGAGAAAGACCCAAGGACCATGCTAGAAGAATCGTGAGGTAAGCCACCAACGCCACTAGCTTTGGGGAGGGGGGATCCAAAGAGAAGAAGGAGATAACTGAGCCCTCGGAACTGTACAAGAGTCCACTAAGGATGGGTTACCGATAAGGGAGTCCAACCTGAAGCGAACTTTGGGGTTCTTTGCCGAAAGCCAAGCTGCTAGCCTGTATCTTAACGTTCTGGCACATTTTCAAATGAAATAAAACCACGAGATTCAAACTCAAGGAGTCAAGGCGAACAGATGAATGAAATTTGGAACCGAACGATCACCAACTACGAGGGTCGACAATGGTTGGTAGTCGCGTTTAGCCACCTTCTGTTTTTATTTTATATTTTAAATTATTTTTTATATTGAATAATAATAAAAAGTGAAATAATTAAAAATTTAATGATCCATTTAAATTAATTTAAAATTGACCCAAACATGAATATGGTCAAAGTTGAGCGATGAAAGTTTTCCCTTTACATATTAAAATGTGGCGAGTGAAGTAAAATTTTGGCAGCCATGAATAAATGAAATCAAAGAACCAATATGAATTCAACTGCCTGAAAAAGAAGCTGAAACTATAAGAATATTGGCATCAGCAAAAGGACTAAACCTGCCAATTAATTTTGAAACAAATTAAAAAAAAAAAAATTCACTCGGAAGCCACTTGACTCCCTGAATCATTGGTCATGATGGGTTCAATCTTTGCAGCTTTTCTCTTTCGCGATAATAACCTGAGAAATCAACAATCCATAACCTCAATCAGCACGACGACAAATGTGAGTGTCCGACATGAATATAATAGTATCTTTGAAGTTCTTTTATATATTTGAAAGATCATATCTTTACGTCGATCGATCTTGTAGTATATCGGTAAAGGATATCGTTTTAATCTTACTTGAAATTAAATATCATGTTCATTCCCGAGTTCAATTTGATATTAGATCATGAGTTTTGAATCAAGTTTGATTTTGTCACTATTCAAGCTCTGTTCTGTTTGATTACACCAGGACAGACGCAATACTTTACGTTAGGAGAACGAACCTCTAAAATTTTAGGAGGAGGTGGATTTATAAAATTTCTAGAGACAAAGACAAATTTTTAATATAAAATATATAAAAGAATCTAAAATATATAATAACTTTAAGTTTTCAAGAGAAGACCGCTCCCACTCACTCCCCTCAGGCCATACCTGGATTACACCCTTTTTGACGGTGGGTTCTCAAGGTGTTGGACATTATTTAGGTATATGATCAAACTGCGTTTAGCTCAAGTATTAATATATCTTATGAATCAGGGATGGATCGAGGGGTGCTAGAGGGTTGCGGTCTCATCCTTAGAAATTTTAAATTCTAGAGTAGTCTAGATATTTTCTTTGTGTTTTTTATTGATGATCTAATTTTTTACCTCTAGATTTCTAATATAACTTCATAAATTCGTGCATATCTTACGTCCGTACATAGGGATGATTACGGGACCCGAACCAGTCGGGTTTTGACCCAACTCGATCCGATTGGGTCAGATTAAAAAAAATAAGTCGGGTTGGGTCAGGTTTTTTAGAGATTATATTCGAGTCGGGTTCATGGTGAAAAATATCCGAGCAGACCCAACCCGAAAAAATAATTTTACCTTATATATTTAAAGATAATTTCAATAAGATCCCTCTATATGTTCGGGTCAGGTCTGATTCGGGTTTCAAGTTGATTGGAACCCAAGCTAAACCCGAGCCATCCCATCCCTATCGGCACATGCTATGAACACTAATATTTCATTTAAGCATACATACCCCAAGTGCAAGGAAGTGTCATCATCATCTGAAGCAAAGTTATGATCATCATCCTTTGAACCATTGGGGGAATCAAGTCTTCTTTCCAGCAGAGGATTCAGTTCTAGTAAATTTGAGCTTCTTTTCTCTCTCAATTCTTCAACCTTTTAGCACACATTCAGTGAAGAGCGTACAAGTTTCAATACCTTAATACGTATGCATGTACCAGTTGATGTTTAGTCTACGTACCTGTTTACGTAGTGCTTCATTCTCCATAATAGCTTTCTGTTCCTGAAAATACATAAATACCAAACCAGAAAGTATTAATCATTAATTTTTCGAATATATGTCCGACACGAGTAAGTGTTAGATACTGATATATGTTGATACGATATGATTACATTTTTCGAAGTTTTTATCATATTTTGAAGATCATATCTATATATGTATATATGCTCGAAAATGTATCCGACACGTGTTTCGAATACGAGTAATTCAAAAAGAAGATGAAGTGCCAGAGGAACATAAAAATTCAGAATTTACCTGTAATCTAGATGTTTTAAGCTGCTCCAGTAGAATTTGCTCCTGCAAGAATAAAAGTTCATGTGGGACAACATTTGATAATGTTACACGTGACGATGAGTAACCGGTCGCAAAACAATAGAAAAAAATAGAAATAAACACACAGATTTTACGGGGAAAACTCTTTGAGAGAAATCACAAACGAAAGAAAAAAATTTACTATGTCCACGATAAAATACGAAAAAGATCACTTAACTTGCAAGTTCCAGTATGCTATTTCAGTACCTTTTGTTGCTTAACTGACGATATTCCTTCACATAATTGATTTTCCAGGTGTTTTAGTTCTTTGAGACTCAGACCATCCAATTCCTTGCCATTAAGCTGCCTGCAAATCACAAACTGAATTATGTTGGTCCGACTCTTTATTTTTCGTGAAGTATTGATGTTCGAATACGAGTATACATGTATGATCTTTCATGAAGAACCTTTTAAATATATAAAATTCTCGGAACTGAAAACATATTTATGTCTGCTACTTGAACTCGAATTCGATTTATTTCTACTGCATTAAGATTTGAACTTCTAATCTTATTTAAAAGATTTAACATCTCGTCCCACTAGACTAACATAGTTGTTGCCTAGATTTCTTCAGTTATATATATAAATAGAAAACAATAGAATTGAAATGGCTTACATGTATTCTGTATGTAGCCTCAAGTACTCCTCTTTCATGGTGTTCACATCAATTGCTTGACACTTCTGCTTATATAACCAATGGAGAAAAATAAAATAAGAAAGATAATTATCATTTAAGTTCTTCGAATTCGCAGTCTCTATTCATAGATAATTCTACACCATTTGACATTGAACGCTCACACTCTAGTATTCCTTGTTTTCGAACCCGAGAACCTCAAGGAATAACAATAATTCCTTTACCATCGAGATCCAAACACTTATTCAACACTCATGTTCCGAATCCGAGTAACATAGATTATCATTTACGGTATAAAATATGTAGAAATTTGTGTATAAATACAGCAGTTGTGTACATACCTCTGCCTGTTGTTCACCAGAAGGATGCTCTTGAGAATGATGATCATCCTCCATGCCTCTGTTGTATCTTGAAAGAGTGTGTTCCATGCTACATTAATACAATGCCATGTTAATTTTTTTATAGAAAACAAGCCAAAAAAAAAGCCTCAAAGTCTATGTACTTTTGCCAAAAATTCAATGTAGTTATCGTATTATTTTTACTCTTAATCTGGCCTTCAAACTTAGAAAATAAATCCAATGTAGCCCTCAAATTACCATGTCAGCATTTTGATCTACCACGTCAATACCGTGAACTTTCAAATCAGCAACGTAATGGTCAATGACGAGAAAACATTGGTTAAAGGACCACATTAAGTTTATTTTATGAGTTAGATGGTCATATTGAGAGAACAAATAATGCGATGGACACATTAGCTTTTTAAAAAAGTACAGGGACCTCTGATATATTTTTACCAAAAACCCAGGTTTTCAATTATCTAAAATCATCCAAAAGAAACCCATAAAATATAATTACATACATAAATACATATATACATATATACATACATACATACCTGGTGCTGGACCATTGATAGACCTTGCCAGTGCTGGAGAAAATCACAACACCAACCTCTGCATCACACAGAATGGACAATTCTTTAGCCTTCTTCAACAACCCATTTCGCCTCTTGGAAAACGTTACCTGCCTGCTATTCAAATTCTCAATCTTTTTTATCTCGATTTTCCCTCTACCCATCTGTTTGTTTTCACTTTCTTTACCCGGAAAATAAAAGGAGAAAGAACGATAAACCCAGAATTCGTAGCTTCATTCAAAAAAACCAATGGCTTATAAACAATAAGAAACACGGCGAAGAAACTAAGGCAAGAAATATAGGAGGGGAGATTGCAGAAGATTCTATATGTAGCAATTTGTCCAACTATGGAAAGCCTAATTATTATAGGGATTAGTTTCTGTTTTTCTGTTTTTATTTCTTTTTTGGTTGATTTGTGTTCGATCTTATTTTCTTTGCTTTTTTAGTCAACTGTTTTGGACAGAAACTCTCACTGTGGATTCCATTTTTGCTTGGGTTTTATTTCCCTTTTCTAATTTTTTTTTTGGTATGCTCGAAAAAGGTTGAGGATGAAGTTATTTTTGGAGGGTTCAAATTGAATGAAAATGTAAATATTGAGGGTTGAATTTGATATTATACCATGTATAGACCACCAACATAAATAGATTAATAAATGAAACGAGAATGACCAAATAGAAGTCTAGCATTTTGTTTAGCGTTTAGGGTATATTATACGTTTAATACTTAATTTATTAGTTGTAGTATATAAATTTTCAATTTTTTCACAATCATACATAAAGTTTAGTTTTTGTTTCATTTTAGTATCTCACCGATAAAAAAATTAGTTTTGTTTCATTTTAGTACCCCGTTCAAAATTTAACATTAATTTTTTTTAAAAATTGAAAGTTTAGGTACTAAAACAGATCAAAACTGATAGTTTAAGTATTAAACGCGTTAAGTTTTCCACGATGGGTACTAAAATGAAATAAAACTAAACGTTAGGTATGATAGTTTAGGCTCGAAATGAAAGATTGAGGATGAAGTTGTTTTTGGAGGGTTCAAATTGAATAAAGATGTAAATATCAAGGGTTGAATTTGATATTATACCATGTATAGACCACCAACATAAGTAGATTAATAAATGAATCGAGATTGAGCAGATAGACTTCGTTCTAGTTGTTTGTTTATATATAAGCTTTCTTTTTATTAGTCTAACGCCGCGGACATACGTATTTTTATTGCTTGAATCTGAGATATCAAAGAATAACAATAATTCCTTAATCATTAAGGTCGCTCAGTAAATGCAAGCTTATTTATGTTAGTTAATAATTTAACATTTTTATTTATGTTCGTTTATTTAAAATTAAGTGTATTTATATTTGTTCATATAATGTTCAATAATATATTTGTTTAGTATTTAGGGTAAATTATATGTTTAATACCTAAATTATCAGTTTTGGTCTTGTTTAGCACCTAAACTTTTATTTTTTTAAAAGCATACCTAAAGTTTAGTTTTTATTTCATTTTAGTACCTCATTGTTAAAAACTTTAGTTTTTATTTCATTTTAGTCCCGTTCAAAATTTAACGTTAAGTTTTAAAAAAATTGAAAGTGTAAGTGCTAAAAAGGATCAAAACTGATAGTTTAGGCACTAAATGCATTAAATTTTTAACAAATATTAAAATGAAATGAAAACTAAACATTAAGTATGATTTTGAGAAAAAATTAAAAATTTATATACTAAAATAAATTAAAAGTGATAATTTAAATACTAAATATGTAATTTATCTTAGTATTTATAAATACGTTCATTTAAAATGTTATTAAGCATCAAACAACTATGCTAATGAATATATAATTGACCGTATAAATAATTTGGTCACCCATCTATCATTTTTAAAATCATATTCTCAATGAACATCAAATAATATATTTTTATCAAAACCTAACAAATAATATATAGGGTAAATTACCTATCGGTACCCCACATCTTTTGCATTTATATTTTGATCACTGGTCTATTATTTTTTCCAAAAATCACACCTAACATTACCTATTATTCTTATTTTGATACCTTGTTGTTAGAATTGACCATTGACTTAATAGAAATGATGATATGACATAGTATGATAATAGTTTTAATCCCTAAAACTTATATATTATGTTAAAATTGTCTTAATTTAAAATAATTAAATAAATCATCAATATTTAAAAATTATATCAATTTGCTCTTCATTTTAATTTAAAATAATTCTTAAATTATTATTAATATAATATTATGATTTTGAAAGAAATAATTTAATGACCAAAATGAAAATATGAGAATAAATGAGATATCAAATAAAATAAAATAATTTACCCTATATATAAATACATAAAAGGCATTTTCTTAAATATCATGGTAAAGTACGCATTTTTGTATATGTAGACACTCGTTTTGTCTAAATTTTTTTATCATTTTTTTATTTTTATTATAATTATTAAATATTAATATTACTTTCTTATTTTTGCATGCCTTTACAATGAGCCCAATTACAATGGGGCCTAACTGCAGGCCCAAAGGCCCAAAGCCCAACCAATAGGGCCCAATTAACATAAAATAATTAGGGTTTTTGAACCCTAAGTAGTGATCCTCTTCACCAACCGTTGTCGTTGTCACTGCCGGGGAGCTACTCTCGTCGCGTCGGTCACCTCAACTCAACTGAATCACTATTCCAACAACCAAAAAATAAATCAAATCCCAAAAATCAACAAATTATCCGAGGCAAACGTTTTTACAAAATCTCGAATTTTTAATCGATACCAAGATTTTAAAAGGAACATCTCGACAGCTTGACAACTCTACTGGGGACATTCGAGAGTCAGTCCATTAATGAATTAGTTGTCTTTGCAATAAAAATTGTAAATTCGCTGTAATTTAATTTGAGATCCCTTGGGTGTTTTGATTTGTTTTATGTTTATAATTTGATTAACCACTAAATAGTTATACTAATTTGTTTGCTAATGTTTTCAGATTAAATAAATATTCAAAGGAATTGAGATCTCTGTTTTGTGTTGCGTGCTTATATTGTATTTTTTTCGCTTTTCCTCACACTGCACAGTTGCATTTACATAACATGAGCTAAAACACCGCTTCATCCCACTTAAGTGGGAGTGAGAAACTACTATCTCGTGATGGTTTTCACCTCCGCATGGGATAGTTAATCACTCCCAGGGCACACGCCATATAGTCCTCGTGATGGTAATCGCCTTCGTACGGACATAGGGAAGTGTACCTCCTCGAATTGAACTCGATCCGTATAAACCTATCATGGGCCAGGATTGAGGGTCTGGCAGCCCAAGGGGGCACCAACAAGGATAATTCGAGTACATCTTGCCTTAAAGACGAACCCAACATATCGTTAGCCTTGGACTATAGAGTTTGACCTACCCTTAGAAATCTCGTGAGGAGTGTACACAAGGAAAATCTTCTATGAGTCTTTGGTAGAATAATTTGATGTTTTGAATAAATACCTAATAACTAGATGTCATGCGATTAGGTTTTTTTTCAAACAAGCATGAAAATTAGATATCATGTGGTTAGGATTTTTTGTGAATAACAAAGCATGTGTGTAGAAAGAATATTTGGGTAGGATTTATTATACCATGTATGGTAGTCAACTTGTGAGGGCAGGTTTTATTCGATGCTTATAATACTTACTATCTTGTTGTTTATCTTATGTGTACTAACTCATTTTTGTTTTGTGTTTATTTTATTTTGGTTTTATTTTCTTGCATTTGCATATTCATATCATCCAAAGTTGTTAATTCGTAAGTAATTGACTAAATAGAAGGTTGTTTATAAAGAGATATGGAACTTTTAGCCATGTAGTCAAAACCAAAGGTGTTTAGTACTTAAACTTTCATTTATTTTTTCAAAATTTAATGTCAAATTTTTAACGAGCACTAAAATGAAACAAAAATTAAACGTTAAGTATGGTTTTGAAAAAAATTAAAAATTTAAGTACTAAAACAGATCAAAACCGATAGTTTAGATATTAAATGTGCAATTCACCCTATTGTTAATACATCGAACGTAAGAGGTGATGGATTAGGTCCCTTCATAAGCATTGTAGAGTGTTCCTGCATGCTCATAAGAAGTATGATGACGCTATGTTTGATACCATCATTTAAAGTCACTATAGATACATTTCGATTGCAATTGAAAAGAAATTGTTTAGTCATTTCCTTCTCCTTCACCTATTCATTCCTCGTTATGCATTTATTTTTGTTACTGAAATACATCGGCCAATGACCATTATTTCATCGACCGCGACTATACATTCAAACTAAAATGAATAAATTGTAAACGATATATACAATAAATGTATTCCCATCAACATCAAATTATCATGTCATTCAATTGTTTATAAACTAATGATATAATTACATATAAAATAAAAAAATAACACTATAATCGTATTAATTATTCGATGAAAAAATCAATAATATTTAGGGTAAAGTAGACAAATGGTCCTCGACTATTGAATATTATTTTATTAAGTCGCTCGACTATTAAAAGTTACAAAATGATTACTCGACTATTAAAAGTTACAAAATGGTCACTCGACTATTCATTATGTTCCAAACTCATCATTTTCTGTTAAAATTTTGACGAAAGTTTAAGTTGTACGTTAACATACTGACTAAGATATGATAAAATCTGATTGCATAATCTCAAACGACTATCATATCTCAGTCAATATGTTAACATCCAGCTCAGATAACCATTATTTTTTATCGAAAATGGACGAGTTTTGAACATAATGAATATTCGAGTGATTATTTTATAACTTTTAATAGTCGAAGAACTAAAAAAGACAACTCTTTATAGTTAGAGGATCATTTTATAACTTTTAATAGTCAATAGACTTAATGAAATAGTATCTAATAGTCAGTGGATCATTTGTGTACATTTTACGCTAATATTTAATATAATTTACCCAAAAAAATATTTAATACTTTGTCAAAAAAAATATTTAATATACATATAATGCCGAAGGATAAGTGTGACTTTGGGATCAAATTTAACGCCAAACATCTCAATTAAGTGGCGCCGTCTGCCACCTCATCTCTTATTGGACCCCATTTTCCGGCCCAACCTCCACGTCCCGACCGACCCACTTGTCCTCCGATTATCAACCCGAACCGATTCGTTTATAATCAAATAATTTATCGCACGTACGAAGAACTTATCCGCACGTGTCATTCGCGTTCTTCATACTCTGCACTTTAACATTAAATGGACACCCTCCCTGTAAAAGCTTATTCAAACGCAAGATAATAATAATAAAAAGAACAGCAAACTCTGATCAGATTTTCTCGCCGGAACATTCCTTTTTATCAGGTTAGATTCTCATTTAACTGTACAATAACAAAGGAAAAATGGAATCGATTATTGATTTGTTATTATTGGCGTACGAATTAGAAGTTTTTGTGTGCGTGTGTGAATATATATTGTTATGTATGTATCTTTGGATTGCTGGTTGGTCTGTTGTTTTTGCTAGAAAATGAGTTTACCAGCTGTTTGCTTACCGAGAAAGTAGTGAAAATAGGAGAAAAATGGAAAGTTGAAGCAGTTGTTTCACTGTGCTGAAGAACCTGCTTTTGTTCATCTGAGTTACGAAAGGGTGATAGTTTATTTTCGTTGGCTTTGAATGTTAAAAACGGAATAGCTATGTTCTGTTTGGGAAATGATAAGTGATTTTCAATCTTATTTTCGAGATCACACTTAATTAGTTTTTCTTCAATAGTATATACTGCTGTTGTTTTTGCTAGACAATGAGCTTACCAACTGTTTGGTTGCCGAGAAAGTAGTGAAAATTGGTGGAAAATTCAAAGTTGAAGCAATTGTTTCACTGTGCTGAAGAAGCTGCTTTTGTTAATCTGAGTTACGAAAGGGTGGTAGTTTATTTTCATTGGCTTCGAATGCTAAAAACGGAATAACTATGTTCTGTTTGGGAAATTATAAGTGATTTTCAATCTTATTTTCGAGATTACACTTAATTAGTTTTTCTTCAATAGTATATAGTGCTGTTGTTTTTGCTAGACAATGAGCTTACCAGCTGTTTGGTTGCCGAGAAAGTAGTGAAAATTGGAGGAAAATGGAAAGTTGAACTTGAAGCAATTGTTTCACTGTGCTAAAGAACCTGCTTTTGTTCATCTGCCTTATGAAAGGGTGGTAGTTTGTTTTCATGGGCTTTGAATGTTAAAAACGGAATAACTGAATTCTGTTTGGGAAATGATAAGTAATTATCGATCTTATTTTGGAGATTACACTTGATTAGTTTTTCTTCAATAATATATAGTAGTACTTAATGCATTCAGGCAATGATATGTTTTTCATCATTTGACTACAATACCTTATTGTCTCTCACTTGATGACAATTATTTCACTTCCCATTTGGTTACCGCTAGAGTTAAGGAAAATCGGAGGAAAACGGAAAGTTGAAAACATTTGCTTCACTGTGCTAAAGAACCTGCTTTTGTTCATCTGAGTTCAGTGAAGGGTAGTGTTTTATGTTCATTGGTTTTGAATGTTAAGACTGGAACAATTAGGTGTTGTTTGGAAAATGATAAGTGATTGTCAATCTCATATAGGAGATTATCCTTAAATTGGTTATTTTCAATAACACGTGGTACTTAATGCATTCGGGCAATGCTGTTTTTATTCATCATTCGACCACATTACCACATCATTTCTCATATTTGACTACAATTAATTCACTTCTTGTTTAATTACCAATAAAGTAAACAAAAATTCGGAGGAAAATTGAAAGTTGAAACAATTGTTTTACTGTGCTAAAGAACCTGCTTTTGTCATCTGAGTTCAGTTAAGGGTAGCATTTCGTGTTCATTGGTTTTGAATGTTAAAAATGGAACAATTAAGTGCTGTTTGGTGAGATAAGTAATTGCTCAATGTGTTTGGTTTCTTATTTTGGAGATTACCCTTAATTGGTTATTTTCAATAACATATACTTAATGCATTCAGGTAATGTTATTTTTTTCATCATTTGACTACTGTTAGTTCACTTCCTGTTTGGTTACTGAGAAAGTAAAGAAAAATTGGAGGAAAATGGAAAGTTGAAACAACTTTTTCACTTTGCAAAAGAACTTGCTTTTGTCACCTGACTTCAGTGCAGAGTAGTATGCCATTTTCAAATTTCCAGTGGTAATGAACATTAAAAATGAAATAGTTAGGTGTTATTTGGATAATGATAAGTAATTGTCAATGCGTTCGGTTTCCATTTGGAGGTTACCTTAATTGGTTATTTTCAATAACATGTAGTACTTAATGCATTAAGGGAATGCTATTTTTTAATCATTTGACTACATTACCTTATCATTTTTCTCTCATTACACTTTGGCATTGGTTAACATACTTACGTAATCTATATTTTTGCAGGAGAGTGAATCAAAGAAACCCAAGCTTTTATTACAAACGGTCATTTGTGTCTGGTGTTGTCATGCACCTTATTCGTGAGAATATATTTATTGGAAACATAGGGGATGCTGCTGAAGTTCTGCAAAATGGTAGCACAGAGATCACACACATTCTATCTGTTCTGAGCTCTGCATCAATATCATTTTTCTCTGAATGGCGTAGTGGTCTCACAATCCCTACCAAGGAAATTAAAAAGGTATACGTAGGTGGGTCTCGTGATGCTGCAGCTCCTGAGCATCATTCACATGATGATTCTAAGAGTTCTTTGGCACCCCAGAAGTTGTTGTACTTGTTGGAATATGCAGGGAAGGATTTAAAACTGGTGAGAATGGCAGTGCCAATTAGAGATATGGAGAGCGAGAATCTGTTGGATTATCTAGAGCCATGTCTTGATTTCATTGATCAAAGCAGAAAAGAGGGATCTGTTTTGGTGCATTGCTTTGCTGGAGTGTCAAGAAGGTACGTGTATATTCTTTAGTGTCATCTTCTTATGCTACTTGAATAGGCTCACTTGGAATACTAGTTTGAGAACAGATGATTGCATATCACTTTGCTGGATAACCTTTCTAATCTTGTCATTGAGGAGAAGAGAGGAAACGATCATAATTTCATTTCTTGTTATTTCATTATGTAAAATAGTAGTCAAGTTTTGAAGGTTTGTATTTAGTGTTGGTATTTCTCTTTTCCCCTTTGTGACATAAAATCTTTGTATCAGTAACAACTGTAGCTATTAAACTTTTAATTTTTTAGATTAGTGCCAACCTATTATAATTTGCCTCCACTTTACATCATACAAGTTGAGGGAATGAATGGTATCAGTCTTTTGTTCAAATGGTTCCAGAAGTTGCATTAAGACTACTTCCTATGGGAAAAAATGTATATTATATATTACGCTTGAATATTTTTTAACGTTCCAATGCTTATAAGAAAATCACTAAAACATTAATACATTGTAAGAGGTATTCCAGTTCCCTTAATTATCAAGCCTTCAGGATTTACACATTTTTTTGCTTGTTTGTGTGCAGTGCGGCTATAATTATGGCATATTTGATGAGAAGCGAGCAACTATGTCAAGAAGGTTTGAACAAATCTGCTGTTTATTTGGGAGTAATGTGGGTCCAAATTTCACACATGCTGGCTGCTATTATTACTTCTTCGTTTTTAGATAATAGGATTCTATCTTCTTTTTTCTTGACTGGTGAGATTGAAATGATTTGTATATGATATTTAAATGAAACTTATATATTATCCTTTTGTTTCCTTTCCCGCTTTTTCATTTCCACTCTTGCAGATGCCCTTGAATCTCTAAAGCTAAGCTGTGAGTTCGTTTGCCCTAATGATGGGTTTTTAGAGCAGGTAATTGAAAGGGACACTGTAAAACTAATTTATTTATATTTTGAGGCATATCATTGTGGCTATATGGTTCTAGTTTCTTAAAGAGTTTCAAATTTGTCCACCATTGCAGTTGAAAATGTTTGAAGAAATGGGTTACAAGGTTGATCACGCTAGCCCAATATACAAGAGATTTCGCTTGAAAGTGTTGGGTACACTCCCTATCTGCATTCGGAACATTTTAACTTCAGCTAGCATGTTCTTTCCAAGTATTTCGTAGGATAAGATACCAATCCCCTCCCCCAAACACTGTTACTCGATGCTTTTGTAGTCGGTTCTAGCATCTTGAGTTGAAAAAGATAGAGAGTAGAGAGAAAGTCGTCGACTTAGAGCAGATAAATGGTGATCGCTATATAAAACTACTATTGCAGTGCACGTGAGTTGAACGAGAAATTAGAATTTGTTATTATTAGAGTATATAATAATCATGTCTTGAATTTGACTGAAAACAAATGGAAAATTTTCTTCCACAATTATCATCTTTTGAGATGGGTCTTCTCTGTATTATGCTTTCAGGTGATTGTTATAACCGTGGAGAAAAAATAGATGGTTCTAAATTAGGTGCTGATCCCGGCTTGCCTATTGAAAGTTCCTATGTTGTTGAGGCGTCTCCAAAAGAAGGTATTAACCGCATTGCATACCGTTGCAAGAAATGCCGAAGAATTGTGGCATTGCAGGACAATGTTGTTGATCATACTGCCGGCGAGGGTGAGATGTCTTTTGAGTGGCACAAACGGAGAAGTGGTAACCCTTTCAACAAGTCTGCTCAATCCGAGTGTTCATCGATATTTGTTGAACCCTTGCGGTGGATGACAATCGGTGAGAAAACACTTCCGTTTAATCGTATTGGATCTATTTTACTTATAAATCGAATCATGTCATTTCCACCCACTTGATTGTAAATTGAAGCGATAGTTAAGCTGTTCGATTTCCGCTGTCACACAGTTGAAGAAGGTGGAATCGAGGGGAAGTTATCGTGCGCTCATTGCGATGCTCGCTTGGGTTATTTCAATTGGTCAGGCATCCAATGCAGTTGTGGAAGCTGGATCACACCTGCCTTTCAGCTGCAGAAAAGCCGGGTCGACATAAGCACGGTGTAGTATCATCTACCATATATACCTTAAACCGAATCCGTAGATTGCTGGTGTTTCTTAATAATAAATTATAGAATCGGAATTCCCATATGAGATGTTCATATGGATCTACTGTTATATAAGGGAACAAAATGAGCTGTTAAAAGTTCAAAGCTATGAAGTTTGAGGAACTGTGAATAATTTGAGAGATTGTATAATATGCAGTCTTGCACTGTGGTACACATTTGAATCTGTCATTTGCATTTTGGTCATTCTACCCATCATTTTCTCTCATTAACAATTGAAGGAGAAAAATCGGCAACAACCAACTCTAGCTGGATCGGGTGATAATGATCTTGCTCGATACCCTTTAATTGGGATCTGACCTGGCTCGGCTCGAAATTATTCGGAGTCCTTGTGGCTACCGGTCACCAAAGGTCTCAAACCAAACAAAAAGTGGTAATGGCATTGATATTGTTCTATTCTAACTCATGGTTAGGACAAAGACGTTTCCACATAGAGATCTCTTCTTCTATGTAAAGCTTTCTAATGCCACCATAAAACCCATCTGCTTCATTGCCTACTTCTCTGTGGTCTTTCCTGTTTATCGTTGTTTTCCGCCATCTCGAGCTCGATGGGTACTGCTTGAATTCCAGCATCACCGTGTCTGTGTCAACAAAAATACAATGCCTCTGCTTTAAAACTCGTCATTAAGGAATATACGACGCCGGCTATAATGCTTGACTTCTCGTTTTCCTTGTAAGTACTCAGTTGATTCATATAATCGGTTTTAAAAAACGAGTCGAAGAATGAATCCCGACATCTATAATCCTTCGCCTAACCTGAACTTTGATACCTATATACTGCAAGTCGGATAGGGTGATTTTTCCTTACCTGTATATGGGCAACGGCAGTGATTCTCAGTTCCACCACATGATTCCATGTGAACAACAACGCCATACCACCACCCTGCAATGAAATCAAGCATAAGCATTCAAGTTTCGATTTCAAGTCTGATGTTTAGAATCCAAATCCGACTCGACTTCAAAGCAATCGAGATGCAAGATGACTACCGAATAGGAAAAACTTACCATAAGGGAATTCGTTGGTTTTTCTCCATTGGATCTCAATATGGTCACCAGGTTTCAAATCAAGTAACGAATCCGAACTGTAAAGATCATACGAACAAGTATTGACGGGCGGAACCCTCAGCCTATCCCATGATATATTCTCCTCCGTCATCCGCCGTCCGTAAGGCGAGTACCTGAAACAGAAGTACAAATCTATAAATTAAGTCCAGAGATCTAAATCCCGGTCGCATTTTCGGGTTGGAATTTATCGAGATTGCAGACATATATGCCGTCAACGAAATTACCTCGCCTGAAAGGTATCGGTCTTGGAATCATAGCTAAGCTTGGCATCATAACATGATAACAAAAACCCAGCATGTCCATTCTGCAAAACAGAGACACACCATTAGTTCACCCGAAATCAATGTTTCATCGACAAGTACGACCGATCAAATTTTTTTTTATTTAATACGTAATTCTATAATTTTAACTCAAATTTTTTTAAAGCTCATTAACTTGAATAATTCAAATTTTTTACCCGAATCAACTAGATCGAATAATCACCCTATAAGCAGTGATGGAACACAATCTGGACCCCCAGAATTTAACAAATTATAATTTAGATCCTTAAAATTTTCAAAAAACAACTTATTTAACTCTCAAATTTTTTAGAAATTTAGATTAAATTTTAAATGTTTTAAATTAAACCCCTTCCCATAATTTTAAAAAAATTCTCATTAAGCCTCTCAGTTTCAAAATGTTAGTTACCCTCCAAAATTTTTAAAAATCTTAATTTAAATCTCATAAACTTTTTAAAGTTAGGTAGTATCTAATTTTTTTTATCTATTTTAATATTTAAACTTTCAATTTATTCAAAATTATAATTAACGTTTAATTTTTGTTTTATTTTAGTACTTAAAAATTTAAGACGTTTAATACTTAAACTATCAATTTTAGTATGTTCCAATACAACTTTCAATTTCTTTAAAAAAACGTAAGTATGATTTAAATACTAAATGTATTTTGGTATCTAAAATTTTAATTTGTCAAGACTGATGTTTTTGGTAGTATAACGAAACCAAAAATAAAATATCTTAATATTACCTCTCGGTTATAAACCTGAGCCGGGAACCAGAACTCGCCGGTTTCAAGAGCCAGATACAAAGCAATGATCGAATCGACCGGCAAACCACTCTTCTTGAGCTGAATCTCACCGTTTTCAGTTCTGGGTTTAAAGCAAAACTTAGAGAGAAAATGGCCGAATTCACAAATGGAACAGATGAAGCTCCTTTGTTCACTTCGATCCAAGAGATTTCTGGGTTTCATTTTCGAAGCAATATGCCATTGCAATTCCTTATAAGCTGCATCCCCAATCACTTTACTCCATTTTCTCTTCATGTGCTTCTCCCATAAATGGTCACTCGTACAACGATCCCTTAACGACGAGCAGACGCCGGCCATGGCGCACAGACCGGCGGGCGAAAGGCGGTCCAGAATGCATTCGAGGGTCAGCTCCGGCAAGTCCAGCAAAGACGACGACGAAGATGACGTATTGTGGTCTTCGTTTTGATTCTCCGACGACCCGGGCTTCGTCTTCATCTTCTTCAACGGGGTGATTTGGATGAAACTGAAGATTCCGAGCTTACCCTTTTGAAACAATCTCCATTTGCTGTGAATCCCTTGGTGGATCTTTGAAGACAAAGACTTTGAGAGAAGAATGACGGAGAAACATGATATTAGTAACAGGAACATGAGGATTTTTGTAGCTTTTTATGTTAAAAAAATCAAATGAAGAAGAAGGGTAACAAAGAGATGTTATAGCAGGGGGTATTTATATTGTTCTATTTTAATGTTGGTTTTGTGTGTGTGTTTTGCTTTTCTTGATTATTGGTTAAATTGTGTTTTAGTCCCTTTATTATGGTTATTTTTATTCTTAATATATTTTAATTTGACATAATCTTCACCAACCAAGCGATTTTGATGATAAAAAAATTATAGGTAAACTATGTGAAGAGCCTCTTTTGTTTTTTTTTCCTGACCGACTCTAGTCACTAATTTAAAAATTGAGGGTACATGGTCTATAACGTTATTGATTCGTTCGATTTTAGTCTCTAACGTTATCGATTCGTTCGATTTTAGTCCCTCAACCATTAACTCTCATTCGATTTTAGTCCCTCAGCTATGTCACATATTCGTTAAGGATTAACAGCGAAGGGACTTAAATCGTACGGACCGATAATGTTAGGGACTATTTACCCTTAATTTTTAAATTTGTGACTAAAGTCAGACATACCCTAAACAAAAGAGACTATTTGTATAGTTTATCCAAAAATTATTATTGCTTCGTAAGGTCTTAAGATCAAACACCGTAAATTTAAGAAATATAAGTACTTAAAGAATTATTTTTGAACAAACATGGTATTATCCGTGTTAAATTTTACTTTAAAAAAATATAATTTTATCATATTGAAACATATCAAAATGCCCGTTTTTAACTTTTTTACCGTTCCTAGTTAACATCGATAATTATCTTTTTATTAATCATGATAATTATGTTGATCAATTTAAAGTTGTTATAGAAATAAAGAAAGTGAAATGGTCGGAGTTGTCAAGTGAAAAAACAAAGTGGACTTCTCAAAGCACATAGTTTAAATAAATAAAATAAATGCGAGACATATTTTGAGTGTCGACACCATAGATAGCCGACAATACCATGAAATAAAACGTTGATTGCATCTAACTTGGTCGTTGAATTTTAGGGGTTAGCTCGGTTGGAATTTTGGTTTCCAAATTATATATATATATATATACACGAATCATGATTCACTTAAATAATATAAAATTCTTTTAATTTATACAGATTTAAAATTACTAGATGAGTGAAAATAGATGATTGGGATTAAAAGTATGAAATGCGAAGATATTTACCGAGGAAAATGAGTCAATTTCAGACGTTCATTTTCATTCACCTAATTAGCCTTAATCCGTGTAAAACTGAAGAGTTTTACATTGTATAAGTGGATCCTAATCCATTTACCTCTAATGTAAAAGTTTTAGTTTTACGCAGATTTATGACAATTGGATGAGGATAAATCAAATGGTGTGATTAATTCTTTATTTTTCCCCCCAATGAATATCTTATCATTTTTTACTATTGATCTTATTCTTCGATTTACTCTCATCCAACCATCCTAAAAAGATATAAAGTTGTATTGTTTTTCCCTCGTACAACATATGGGCAATGATCGAACTCTATCTCATTTGATGAAGAAATAAAAAGATTTATAATAGAATATGTGATAAGAGATTTATTTAACTAAAGTTATTGTATGTGTACAATTTTTATACCGGTTATTTATTTTTATTTCATCTAACAGTTTAAAATTTATATAAAATTAATAATAATGTAAGGATAAAATGTAGACAAGTGTCTGTGTAAGAATTACATAAGGTGAGAACCCACATGTCCAAAACCTAGGAATTTGGTCTTGTAAAGCTAGAAAAAAAAGGTGCTTTGACAAATAATGGTGGGTTGCTTCAAAATGGGATCTAAGTTAGCTCAAAATTAGATTACCAAATATTAATCTCGAATGGTCATGCAAGATTTAAGCTTACCCAAACCTTTGGGTTTTAATAATTTATTTATTAAAATAATATCTCATATATGCTTTGCAAAACATTTTTTTTAATATAATCTGGAATTTCAATTAAAAATTAAGTCACGTCAAAAAATATATTTATTAAACCCACAATTCAAAGAAATGGGACATGTCAACCGAGCCACTTAGTTTATAGGTTGTTAACAAAATCTAATCAATCTACCTTCTAAAAAGTATGAGCCGATTAGATTTATGAAATTATTAATTGATTTATGAGTTTGGAAATTACTTTTGGGTAAATTACGTGTTTAGTATTTAAATTATCAGTTTTGATTCATTTTAATACCTAAATTTTTATTTTTTTCATTATTATACCTAAACTTTTATTTTTGGTTCATTTTAATATCTAAACTTTTAATTTTTTTTCAAAATCACGTCTAAAGTTTAGTTTTTGTTTCATTTTAGTACCCGCCGTTAAAAACTTTAATTTGTTTCATTTTAGTACCCCATTCAAAATTTAACATTAAGTTTTGAAAAAATTGAAAATTTAGGTACTAATACGGACTAAATTTGATAGTTTAGATACTAAACGCGTTAAGTTTTTAACAGCGGGATACTAAAATGAAATGAAAATTAAAGGTTAGGTATGATTTTGAAAAAGTTAAAAGTTTATATAGTAGAACGGATCAAAAATGATAGTTTAAGTACTGAATGTGTAGTTTACCCATATTTTTTGTGGGTCCAAAGTGAATTGGTGCCAATTAATGGCCTATTGAAGTGGATGGTTAACCATTAAAGAGGGCGCAATGAATGAAGATTACATGAAGGGGGGTTGGTTGGTGAGAATGTCATTAATAAAAGCCAAACCGCTCATTATGTTGGGCTAACCTCCCGCGCCAAACCCTCCCTACACCACAAATTCTTCATTGAAACTCCTTGCAATGCATGTGAATGTGTTGTTCTATACTTTTACTTCTATAAAATCATTTAATATATAGTATATAAATAAAATATGTAAAAAAAATTGGAGTATTTGATAGTTTTGTTAATTCGACTTGCGAAGTTAAAATTTTGGGTAAAGTACATAAGTGGTCATCTAACTATAGAATACTATTTTATTGAATCTCTTGACTATTAAAAGTTATAAAATGATCTCTCGACTATAGGGAGTGGGGATGACAACTTTACCTAAATCTAACGAGTTTCGATCAGGTCGATCCGTTAGGGTTGGATTTTTTTTTAAAAAATCAGATTCGGGTCGGGTCTGACCATATTTTTTAAAGAGTGAGGTTGGTTTGGGTTCGGGTGGAGGATACCTATTTTCGGGTCAAAGCAGATGATAATAATGTAATTTTCTTAAATTTTTATTATTTTTAAATTAAATCTTTATTTTATATTGGATCGTATTTATACTCTAAAAAATCAGGTCGAATCAGAGTCGGGTGGAGGATATATATTTTTTAGGTCTGGTCGGGTTCAGGTGGAGAATACCTATTTTCGAGTTCATGCACTTGCATGTGATTATCATGTGTCCACTCATATATATGAGGAAGAATACATATAGGTTTGAATTCACTCATCATTAATTTTATATTGATCTAGGGTTATTGAACAAGTTAAAATAGACAATCTAGATTAATATTTTATTTTTTCTTAATAAACATCTTCTCATTTTTCACTATTTATTCACATTATAATATATATTAGGGGTGCTAAAAAATAGTAGACCAAATTAATCCAACTTGTCGATCTACTGATCTGAACCTAAAAAAATGATAATTCTTTCCCATATATATATATATATATATATATATATATGTTTGAATTCACTAATTATTAGTCTTATATAGATTTATGGTTATTGAACAATTGAAAATAGACGATTGAGATAATTTTTTTTTATGTTTTTCTAATAAGCAACTTCTCATTTTTTATTGTTTATTCACGTTATAATATATATATTAGGGGTGCTAAAAATATTAGATCGAGTTGATCTGGCCCTCAATCTGCCAATCTAAACCTAAAAAATGGGTAATTTTCTAAAAAAAATTACTTGACCCACTCAAGTACCCGACCTATGATTTTCCTTGGATAGTTGGATCGAGTCTGGATCAAAATTTTTTATAACCGGATATCCGATTCAACCCGGTAGTTTTTATATATATATATATATATATATATAGCTTTAATTCTAATTTTTATTTTAGGTTCCTTAATATTTCTACCTTAAAATTAAATTTAAAATTCTAAATTTTTCTTAGGCTTGTATTATGTACTTTTAAGTTTCAATTTTTTTTATTAATTTGCCAATATGAGATTCGGAAAAAAAACATGATTGATATTAATATTTTTTTAATGTTTTCTTTTAGAAATAAATTTTAATATATATATATATATATATATATATATATATATCTAAATATTTATTCTTAAAACTAACTTCAAATCTCTATTTTTTCTGTATGGATCGTGTATTTGTAACTTTTAATTTTTATCTATTCCTCATATGATTTTTTTTAAAAATTTTATATATATATATATACACGATAGATCGAGATGTGTTGGGAAGATCACACCTTTTAAAATTTATAAACTCATATATAATTTAAATATTTTTATTTATGACCTAATTTTAGTTTTCTTAAAATTTTAATATAATTTCCTAAAAATCCATACCTTTAAGATAAGCTAAACGTAAAATTAATTTATTTTTACACAAACAATTCATATATGTTCTATCCCAAAACGTATAGGATTTGGGAAGACAATCCTAATTTTGATTAGGATAAATTACATATCACTTTCGGTTATGTTTTATACACTTTTTAATTAAATTCAAAAAATATAATATTTATAATTTATGATAATTATAATATAATATATATTTATAATTTTTTTTTGTCATTGACGCATATACTGTAAATATAACTAATTAAACTTAAAACCTCTAAAATAATTAATTATCTCTTTAATTAGTAGGTCACTCAATAAGCTAATTTCTTTTCTCATATTAACTTATTATATGATAGAACAATGGATGATTCTATCACGCTCGACGAGCATAGATGATTCTTTTTTTTGCTTTGAAATTGTCGTTGTCATCATCGATACTGATGTTATCATCGCTGGTGTTGTTATTGTCGTCATTGTTGCTACTGTTGTTGTCCCTATTGCTGTCGTCGTCGCCACCGCTGTGTCATCGCCACAAAATTCA